TGACGTACGGAGCCGCCCACCCACGCGGGCAGTGTTTGCAACCCGATTACCAAAAGTGTCCAAACTTGGCACTAGAACCGCCCACAACAGACACTACAATTTTATGATCAACACTCAGTCTTTCCGATATTTAAAAAAAAAGTCTGTCAGGCGTGGCACCATAACGTTCACCCAGAGTGCCTCATCAAAGGGCACCCGTGTGACCCAGCAGTCTTTCGCCCAGTCAACAACAAGGTCACACCACTCCAGTCCTGTGAGCGCAAGTTGTCCTGTCACCTGGTAGTAGTGCTTGTGCTTTTTGTCGACACTCTTGTCCGCATGGATAAACTCCACAAACCCTCTGCTCATCACCTCCTCGAAGGTCGTCAGGTTCGCATCTATCGCCCGTGACACGGTCTTCACTTCGACTAGTCCGTACTCCTGTATATCTTCGTCCCAGACCAGCCCGTCTGGTGATGCCCCCAGCATGGGAAGGCCAGGGTTGATGCAAAGGCCAACACTGAAGACTTGGACCTTTTGCTTGGCCTTGTAGCGCTTCAGAGCAGCCGCCTCATTCTGAAGTCCCGCCCTCATGTGACGTGTCGTGCCATGTCCGCCCGAGAAAATCGTCCTGAGAAACTTTTCGTTCACGGGTGCTTGTCGTTTGACGATGTCTCCGAACTGTGATGCCGTGATCCTTTTCTCACGTTCCGTGTGCCACAGCATACTTCTGCTTTGGCCACGTGTCTGTTCCTCCAGGTGCTGAGCTTGTGTAAGAGTCAGGGTGCATGGATCGCTTGGTGGCATCTGGTGATTCCAGCACTCTTTTATGGGCAAGCTGATCCGTGCTGCAGAGGCCCCATCATCCGTGTTCGAGTGCTCCTGAACCTTCCTTGGCAAGGGTGTGAAGGCAGCTTCTTCCATCACGTCCGCAAACATTGGGAATATTCCCTTCTCAATGAAATCTGTATGCAGCCTCTTGACGGTTGCCTGCGCCACGTCCACATGCACTTCCGTGGTTTTTCTCGCACTCTTCGCCTTGTTGCTAGAGTCGTGCTTGACGAATTCTAGTTCGTTGAACGACACCGTACTTGCACCTCTCTTTGAAGATGGGCCCCACTGCCTTGCTCCCTCAGTGCAGGCCAGAGCATCCGGGATGTAGGACCTTCCCTCCCTTATCAGGTCTAGCATGTGCCAAAGCAGTGCTGCCACATGCTTGCACACACCGCCTTGTCCAGCCTTGCAGGAACAGGAAGCCTTGCTGACCTGCCCATCTTGGCAGAGCACAGCATGCACTGCGTATCGCTTCGTAAGGGTCATGGAAGCCTCCACGTTAGCCTTGACAATTGTCTCTGATGCACTTGTGGTGTGGAGGAAGATGTTCTGCACTTTGTGGGCCTTGAACATTTTGTAGCCAGAACTTGTGTGCTTCTGTGCTCCAGCTGCTTGGCCATGCCCTTGGATGTGGCTTTCCGAGAATGCGGAAGGAAAGTCCTTCAGCTGCTTGGTCCAAGGTCCTGCTGGAAGTGGTAGCTCTTGCGGCTCTGGTACATCCCGTGTCGCCATAGCCTTCCCTGAAAAAAAGGCAGCTCAGTCAGCGTTTTAAAAGGAGGACGGAAATTTGACCAACACAGTTTTTTAATGGGTTTGGTGTTGTTTTGACAGAATTAACCTAAACTTGCGAAGTAAGAGTTCATCTAGGGTAACAACCCCTCAAAAAAAGCCTGCTGTAAACTTTGTGCTAAAAAAAGAGCGTTTGCTATTAGGCAAACATGCCAGCTTTTGTAATCTACAACTTCTTGTGCACTTTCGAACATTACACAGTCGAAGGAGCATTCTGAAAGCAAGCCACGCACTGGCATTGGGGACAAGCATCTCCAGTGTCACTGAGCTGCTTGTTGCTGCTGCCCTGTCAGTGTCCATGATATAGTGCAGCTCTGAATACGAAGAACGCGTTTTGACCATAATCCGTTTCGTGCCAGCAGCATAAAGCTGCTGGCACGACCGTGAAGTGTTGTACAGGAGTGGCAAAGACACTCCAGCTTTCAATGCGTCAGTGTTCGTCCAAAAGAAGCAGTTCGCAGAGCCACTAAAAAGTGTCTAGCATTTCATATGCACGCGCTTGCGTGAAAACGGGATGATCAATAAAGATATGCACTCGCGGGACGCTGTGTTAGCGCGGTTCGCAGGGGCAATCTTGCCTCACCACAGTGAGCGCGCTAGCTGAACTGTAATTTCGATAAACAATGGAATCTCCCCCATACTATGCATAAAACGCAGTCAGAACCCCTTCTCCCGCCGCGACGAAGAACCGAACGCGAAGGATGTGATGCTGCGCGGACGGTTGTTGACGAGCGCTGCCGAGGCACGCCGACCGCTGGTACAGCTTCGCAAGCGTCCGAAGGGCAAAAAGATCGCAACGACAAAGCACCGTCCCGAATGTTGAGCACGCAAGCAGTACTCGATATCCCACGCTCACATTTCACAGGGCGAGCGCATCACGAAGCGAAGGCATGTCGGCCTTCGCTTCGTGATGACTACTTTATTTCTCTGCTTACAGCGGTGACATTTGTAGTGATGTTCGAAACTGCTCTCTCGCGACCGCACACGAGTTAAATGAACGGCCTAGGAGCGGGATAGAGCGTAACGGCAACAGTCAGTACTCACCCCGGGAGCGGCGAACGAAGCGGCGTGGTGTCCGTCGACGGCCGCGTCGAAAACGATGGAATATGCACAAAAACACGTAATATACAGAAGAAATACAAAGCGCTGAACGAAATAGATACACTTATGAACAAGAAAAATACACTGGAGTAGATAAAAAAGAGGATTATTAAGTATAAACAACGAAGATGAAAAGTATGTCTAGGGCGAGGTGATGCGATTCCAACGGAGAGCAGCCAGACGACGGGGGCCGACAGAACACCGATCCCAAGATTCCTCGCGCGCGCGCCGGGGCGCTTGGGAGAGACTGCAAATGGTCTATTGGCAGAAACCTGAATTGGCGTCCATTTTTGAAAAATGTTTTGCTACACTTAGTTGTCCCAGTACATGTTCGGTGACTGGGAGGGGATGCAGTTCGCGTTCTACATGCTCGTTCAGTTCCATGTAGTCCATGCAAATCCTGCACTTCCCATATGGCTTTTGTACTATCCCATGGCAGAGCACCAGTCTGTTGGCTCTTCAACGGCTTCAATTACTTCTAGTCTGACCATGTTGGAGATTTCGTCTTTGATCTTGTCCATAAGGGGAAGTGAGGTTCTTCTGGGAGATGCAATAAAAAAAGGTACTGAATCCGGACGTAGTTTTATCGTGTAAGGCATCCTCACGTGACTATGGCCATGAAAGAGAGCTGGAAACTCGGTCCTGGGGTCCACTGTCGTAAGCTGACATACGAGTGCCTCGTTCATTTTCTTGACAACACACGGGATCTCGCTGTCTGCTCTGGAGAGTAATGGAATCTGCAACTCAGGAATCACGTAGATGTCTGTTGTCCTAACCTTGTCACAATATTGGATTTGTGCTTTTAGCACTCCGAGGACAGTTAGTCTTTCCTTACTGGGCCCCCTCGAGGCCGGTGTAGGCGTCATCAGGGCCACATGGCCGAGAGATGTTTTGTGCAATCTCTCGGGAACAGCTGTGACGTCGACTCCTGCGTTGATTTTAAAAATAACCGGCGTATTGTTGACTTCCACAGTCACATCCCAAGATTGTGCTCCTATGGCTTGAAGAACTCTCAAGAAACATGGCTCCTCTGGTGCGTATGTGGCTACCTCTCAGACGTGAGTGCTGCTCCGTTAAACGCTTGTGAAGTGATCAGGCTTCTGACATTTGTTGCACTTGGCATTTCGCACTGAACAGTTATCTTTGGAGTGCTTCTCCCTGCCGCAGCAGTAGCATAACTGTTGTGTGTTTTCCTTTTGGGTGTCTCTCTGGAAGGGGCTGGTGACTTGAACGATTGAACTCTGTTGCCGTTGTCAATTCCACGTAAAGCGTCTTGCTGGCTTTTGACTGTTTCCAAATGGTGCGCCTTCATAGTTGCTGACTCTAAGCTTAGTTTTGCATTAAGTTGCATTTTCTCGGATAGTTTTCTATCCTGGACTCCTACGACGATGCGGTAACGTATGATCTCGTCGTGGAGTGCTTTGAAGTTGCAGTATTTCGCAAGAGCATTCAGATCGGTGATGAAGTTTTCAGCGGGCTCGTGTTCTTCTCGTTTTCTCGTATGGAATTTGCTTCGGTCATAGATGATATTGCACCACACAATGAAATGGTGTTCGAAAGCCTTCTTGATGGTGTCGTATTGTAGTGAATGTTCGTCAGTAATCCTAACTGTGAGCAGAATGTCTCCTGCCTTTTTGCCCATGCAATATATCAAGGTGTTAACTTTCTCTGTTGCGGGCTTGTTGTGAAGTCCACTTAAGGTTCAGAATCGCTCGAAGCACTATATCAATCGAGGCCAGTCTACGGTTTTTGTGAAGTCGAAAGTTTCCGGCAGTTGACAAGCGAACACAGAGGTAGCCATATTGTGTGAAGCAGTTGCCGGTGGTTTCCTGTATATTTGGGCTTGCTTGACTAATACGCTTGGACTTCGGTGGTGTACTTCGGTCGGTGTCTATGCACTCTGGAGATGCTCGGAGGGTAAGTTAATGAATGAATATTGTTAACTCTGCTGCCACCATGCAGTATTCGTAGCCGGTAAGGAAAGAAAGCACAGCCATCCGTGTTAGCTGAGTAACTTTTCCTTCTTCTTCCACTAAGCCCCAGGGCTTAGGGGAGCATACATTTTGCACCACAAGTGGTGCAAAGTGTATGCTGCTGGAGGTACAGAATCAGTAGCAAAGCCAGCACAATGGGTGCTGATGCAACGTCAGTGCGAGCTATGTAGTGTAAAATTTCATTGCAGCAAAAATAAACAGTGGATTCTGGCTTTCCTCCTTGGGCACATACAGCCGTTGGCAGGAAGCATGCACCTCCAGCCACGAATGGAAGCTACTGAAGCGTGCCTGTGACCAACTCACCGGTAGGCAGAACTCTTCGAAAGAAGGCTTCACAAACGTGGTGTACTGGTGAAGGATCTTTTCCAAATCTCTCCCTCGCTCCTTCACGTCCCTGAGCACTGCGAGAAGAAAGAAAGAAACATTTGCGGTCAACGCTTCTTGAGGTGCACTCCCATCCATGAAAAAGAAGACACAATGTGGTAGGCATGGCTCTCCCACCGTATCTGCGACTACGCTCGCTCGCACCACCTAGGTGATGAGACCACAGCACTACCGTGCCTGGAACGCGTCTCCCACCGCTGTGTTTGGCATTCCATTCCACCTGTGTGTCATGCATGTGGCATGCACAAGGCAGCGGATTCAGCGCGCGCCGTCGCCGACGGGTTATCGGGCTTTGTGATTGTTATATTTTTGTTACCCGTGGTGTGCGCTGATTGGTGCGACGAAAAAAAGACGAAGTGACGACGGAAGGACCGAGGCTGGGGACGGTACGCGAGGAGAAAAAAGGAACGCGGTGGGCTGGAGCTGGTGCAAGCACGACTTCGAACCGGAATAAAACGCTTTCCCCCCAAAAGGCTGGCTCCCTGCCTTCCCGGGTCCCACGGCGCCCAAACCACAAGCCGTGACTGGCGCAGCCGACAGCGGGAGTTCAGCTACGGAACCTTGGGATGAGCGGCCAGCTCCAACACCGCACAGACGTCGCCGAGTTCAAGTAAGCCCGGATCTTTGCCTGCCACAACCGACGGAGCGGTGGGTCCGGCATACTACACGGACGTTGCCAGTTCAAGCAAGCCAGGCTTTTCGTCTACCCTATGCGACGGAGCGGCGATTCCGGAGCACAGCACGAACGGTGCTGACAGCAAGCAAACTCGGCTTTTCGGCGGCCATGCAACCGGACGCCAGGCGAGCGCTTGGCGTGACCAGTGGGACGAACGCTGCATGACGCAGCCTCAGCGCAAGAACCAACGGCGGAAAACAAGACTTCCAGTCTTCGAGAGGGACAGGAACTACTGCCTGCAAGCGGTAGAATCCGGATTTCAGTGGTGCACGGACCCTGAGACATTCCTGTTAGGCATTTCTGACTGCCCATCGACGACGAAGAGCTGGTCAACCTGAATTGGTGAGCGCATATGCTTGTCTATTTGGGTTGAATGATCACTCGAGCCATGGCGAAGAACTATGAGTCGGGCAAAGGGGAGGGTAAAATGCCTGATAAACTTAAGGAGCCTGATGACGCATCAGAGGATGAGGGGAGAACTGATTCTGAAGTGATGAACACTCGGTTGGAAATTGAAAAAATAAAGCTCGAACAAATACGGGCACAAATTGAGCTCCAAAAATTGCAGAAGGAAAATGGTGGTGGTGCAAATGGGGGGCTGGGATTACAACCAGAATCTGGGGTAGCCCACTATGCTGCACTCTTGACTAATGTGCTCAGCCGGATGCCCGGGGACAAAACCTTGGTGCCTGGCTGGTTTGAGGCGGTAGAAGTCATATTTCGATCCTTTCAGGTCCCTGACGAGATAAAAACTGTTCTGATAATGCCGTATACAGCTGACAGGGTCAGGTCAGCGATCATGTGCAGTGGCATGAAGGAACTGCCATCTTACGCTCAGCTAAAAGAACGAATTTTACGTGAGCTAAGATTATCTCCAAACGAATACAAACGACTATTCACCACGGCAGGCAAATTGCGGGAAGAGTCCTGGAGCCAGTTCGCCGGCCGACTTAATAGCTACTTCAGTTATTATGTGAACAGTAGAAAAGTGGATACTTACGATGACTTGTTGCAACTAGTTGTCGCGGATAGGTTGAAGGAGTCCCTCCCTAATGAAATAAAAGCATATGTTGCCTTGAACGAAACGGGGGAGTGGCTGCGTCCCGAGGCGATATCTAAGCTCGCTGAATGCCATCAGGAGGGTAATGCACAGAGGGTCCCAAAACCCTATCACAAGACAGACACTACTGGTGACTCTAGTCAGAGCGAGTCTATGACGCCTCCGAAAGAGAGAGGTCATACTGAGTATGTCGGCGACACTCGACGCTGTTTCGCTTGTGGGAAACAGGGTCATCTGGCAAGAAATTGCCCTGAGACCAATCCTAAGCTAACGGCACGAGTAAAAAGACCTTTAGACTGTGAACACGCCGAGCAATCAATCAAGGTACATGATAAACTAGTATCGCTGACTGAACAACACGAAGTGCTTGACGAAGAACGATTTGTGCAACTCCGCTCAGGAGACAAGCGCTTGAATGCTAGGGTTAATTCGGGGGCAGACATTACAGTGGTTCGAAGGTCGATGGCCACCATTTTGGACGAGAATCAAAAAGGAAAGGTTCGGTTGAAGGGCGCTTTCGGCCACGAGGTGGAGGCCGGCCTCATGTATGTCCCGTCTTGGTAGCAGGGCGTTTGATACTGGAGTGGATACTTTACTGCTCTGTGCTGTAACCGAGCAGCTTGCCGGAGAAGTTGACGCGCTACTCACACCTGAGGATTTAGTAGCTTTAAGAGAAGTAGAACAGAAAGTGCCCTTGGTAGATCAGGTGGATCTTCCCTGTGACGCTGCAGTATTGAAGGAAGGGCTGGTGATAGAGGCATGCGTGGCGAGCACACAGTCGGAGGGTGAAAACGGGATTGTAGAGTCTGTGGACGAGCGAAGTGACGTAAACGAAATAGAATCTGAAGGTTGCCTTCAGTTTCGAACAGAGCAGAAGAACGACGAGTCGCTGAAGCCCTTGTGGCTACAGGCAAAAAAAGGGACTCATGGAATGTGTTGTATTCTCACTTCTTCTTTCATTGCCACTTCTTTGCCACATCTATAATTCTCGGCCACTAGATGCCACTTCGTCTTTCTCTCTTTCTCGAGCTGGGTCCTTGCGCCCGGAATAAACATCATTGGCCTGATGACGGTGGTTCGGTCACGACGTCCCTGCCGTTGTCCCTCGCTGGGACACGACATCCTTTTGGCGACGAGGATGCTTGGCGGTCCCTGCTAGCCTCCAAGTTCGTCGGGGGACTGCGCGTCCTCGCCTACCTTGGTCCGCCGATCTGCGATCCTGCCGCAGCTCAATTCTGGACTCAGCGCAGTTAGGCCTTACCGCAGCGTTCGGACATAGGCCTCGCTCCGAGAACGTTGACGCAGCCTCCTGCTAGATCGGACCAGGACGTCAGATTGCCGCAAGCTGATCCGCTCTGACCCGAAGATGGCTTTTTCAAACATCGCGCCACCAAAGCCATTTCTGGATGCGCCTGGACGACCTCCGGTACCTTGGGACGAATGGTTCAAGCGGTTCCAGCGCTACATGGATGCAGCTGGTGCTGCCGAGTTTTCTGCCGTTCGCCGTCAATCCATCCTCATCCACAACTTGGGTGATGAAGGTCAACGTATCTATGATGCCGTAATAGTGAGTCGTCTTCCACCACCCGCTACCGCTACGCTTCCACCAGCAACGGGGCCAGCTGTAAACGCGGCTGGAGAAGCTACGACGTCAAGTCAGTCTGTCATTGTGGAAAGTCCCTCTCATGATTGCTACGTAAAAACGGTCGCAGCCTTAGCCAACCATTTCTCTGCAACCACGAGCACCATTGTAGAGCGATATCGGTTTCGCCGCCGCTATCAACAAGCCAACGAGTCGCTCGAAGAGTATATCGCGGCTTTACGTCAATTAGCGACCACATGCGATTTTGGAACCCGCGTTGACGAAGACCTTCGCGAGCAGCTCATAGCGGGAATATCCTCGACTTCTCTTCGCGAACGACTGCTCTACGACAAAGCCTTAACGTTCGAGCGCGCCGTCGACGTCGCTCTTCACCTAGAGAAGGCCGCACAAGAAGCAAGCGCGATGCGATCACAGCCATATGCCGACGAACCTTCAATAGCATGCGAGGTCAATGCAGAACGTCGTAGACCCTCCCATCGACAGCAGCGAGGTAACCAAAAGCGTTCTTCCTCACGCCAGCTGTCATGGCGTCCGCCTACGTCGGAACGACTGACTACCTCCCATGCACCACAACACGACAGGCCTCTGTCTCGTCGAGCCTCAAATCGGAGTCTCTCCCGGACGTCCACTCATGGCCTATCAGTGTCAGTGCCACGTAATAACCGGGAGTCGGTCCAGTACAAGAGGCTCACAACCGGACCTCGGGCACCTAGATCGCACCAGGAGACCTTGCCAGAATGCCGAAACTGTGGTTTGCACAAATGTCTAATCGCCGCGGCCTGCCCAGCGAAAAATGCCACGTGCTATGGGTGCGGTAAGCGTGGACATTACGCGCGAGTCTGCAGGAGCTCCAACCGTCGACAGAACTCCGTTCATATCCAAGAGATATTTTCCGACGACGACGAAGACGATTATGGAGTTGTAATGAACGTTACTCCTGGTGGTCGTCGGTCGGCCATTTACATAGACGTCATCGTCTTCCATCATGCTGTCAACTTTCTCGTGGACACCGGATCGTCCGTTTTCATCGTTTCGGATGCGGTTTTCAAGAGCCTCAAAGAGAAAAGCACCATCGAGCTTTTCTCACCACCAACGGCTCTCCTGAACTATTCACACGAGAAAATAACAGTCCTGGGAGCGTTTTACGCAGATGTCTCCTACCAGGAAAAGACGGCATTTATATTATTTTATGTTACAAACATTGGCACGTCTCTCTTGGGTCTTGATGCTATACAAGCCTTAGATCTTCGCATCCTAGGGACAGCGTTGCGCTGTCTTCACACTCAGGTCAAAGGCCTAGATTCCTCATCGGGGCAAGATTCATTGACCAACGAAGTACCAGATGGTGCCGGGGTAGCACACAGCCCTCCAGAAAAACTCCAGCAACCGCCGTCGTCGTGGGAGGATCGTCTACGTGCTGCTGTAGGGGAACCAAGTTCCGCATCACGGCTGTCTCCGAAGAGTGGTTCTCCTCATATCGGAGATCGACAAGTTGCTGCTGGAATAGCGACACCTGAAACACCTACAGTGGGGCGCCTTCCAAATTCACTGAGTGCTGACTACAAGCATCTTTTTGTTTCCGAGCTTGGTCACGCCAAAGGCTATGTACACAAGGTAAAAGTCCGTCTCTCTGTTACACCAGTACAATGCAAATTGCGACGGCTTCCGTTTACGGTTC